GCAGAGGTGACGGGCAGACGAGAGCAGGAGGAGCAGAGAATACGCGAGCTTGAGCTGATGCTAGACGGCCAGGCTGGAAGAACCTCTGGAGACGTGATTGAAAAAACACAGGAGTACGTGGCAGAGCTTTTCGCGTCGCTCTCCGTGGATAAGAGCTTAAAAGTCGAATTCTCCGACTTGATGGTCGACGCCCGAAGCGACGGGCAGAAAGACCTCTATGGAAAAATCACCCTGAAGTACACAGACAAAGACAGCGTGGTCGAGCAGGGCATATGCCTTGCCTTTAAGCCTGGACACCTTACAGTCACCCTGTGTCCGTGGGTCTTCCTTTCTCTTACGGACGAAAAAAAAGAGGCCTTCTTTGCGGTGGACAGCTGTTCAGAGCCCAAGGCCTTTGCCGAGTGTCTGTTTGCCAAGTACGTGGGCGTGTGGATGGCCAGAGGCATGGACCCGCAAGGAGACAAGCTTGCCGAACGCATACGGGAGGCCACAGGCCGCCTGGCGGAAGATGCAGCCCCAGAGCACCTAAACGAGCTTTTGGTGCTGGGGCTGGCTTTAAAGCAGGACCAGGCACTCGCAATCACTAAGGACTTCATCTTCCATGCAGCAGCAAACGGTATCGAGCTTGCCCAGAAGCACCCGGGCGTGCGCCTCCTCTCAAACCTGCTCGGCAGCCTTCCGCTGGACGACCCCATGACGCAAGGGGATGTGCTGGAGGGCCCAGTATGCCTGGGCATGCAGTGCGAGCTATTTCCAAGAATCGCCCTGGCAAAGAGAATAACTGCTGTAATCTATAATAACTCATTCACTATCATCGAAATAGGGATCTACGCCGGAGACAACTGCACGCCCGCAGCAAACGCCATCATGAAGTACTTTAGAGAGTACAAAGATAAAGCAGGCGAGCCTCTTTTCCGGTTCTACGCTTTGGCAAACTTTATTGCCATCACTAAAATACTTCCCCTTTTGCATGCAGACAAGTCAACGCGCCACACAGACGAAATTGGCGCGCTTATTATGGATGTGGAGGAGGAAGATCGGGAGGAGGCACTGGACGCCAAGGCGCTCTTCGACCTCCTCCTGTTCCTCGTCAGCTTGAAACACAACGACACCCCGCCCGATCTGATGATTGCTCTGTGGAGAAGGCTTGGGCCAAGGTCGATACAGGCATACAATGGCGCCAAACACATGCTTTATATCGGAAGAAGAGCAGCTTATGCGATGCTGGGGGCTCTGAAGGCGCACCAAAGCGCCCTGCTGCAGGCGCCCTGCGGAGCGGAGGTGTTCAGAGGCGTCATGGACATACTCCAGAAGGAATAGCTGATGCGCATGCGCGCGCACAGAAAGCAGCAAAGGCCTGCACAAAGCTGGCCCTCCGCTTTCGCCGAGCCTGTGGAAGCTTGCTGTACAGCGGCTGCAAGGGCTTTCGCTCTTTCCATAGCCTCCACTGCTTTGCTCGTGCTGTCATCGCTCCCAAAGCACATTACACTCCTATGTTCTGCAAAGCGGCCCAGCTCCAGGCCCTCTCCCTGCTGTGCAGAGCCACATGCCAGGAAAGCACAGCTGCTCCTAAACTGGCTATTGCTTGGGTGGGCCTAAGCAAGGGGCTCCATACTTAAACAATAAGACACAGAGCAAAAAAGTATATTTAAGCGGATTGAGAAACAATAAAGGACAATTTTGCATGGCTGCTTCCAGCATTACAGCTCTGGCCTTTTAACCACCCAGAGAGATTTAGACAAGATTCATATTGGATGTGTGGTACACCAGTAGCTTGTATCCCACAACTCTGAGCATTATATTTTTTAATCAAATTGAGCATAGCGGATCGCATCAACCATCAATTTGATGGCGCACAAAAGTATAAATACATGCACTAAAAA